GCTGTGAGCAATATGGCTGTTGTGTAGAGCTGTAAGCAATATGGCTTTGTTGTGTTGAGCTGTGAGCAATATGGGTTTGTTGTGTAGAGCTGTAAGCAATATGGCTGTTGTGTAGAGGTGTGAGCAATATGGCTGTTGTGTTGAGCTGTAAGCAATATGGCTGTTGTGTTGAGCTGTAAGCAATATGAGCTGCTGTGTTGAGCTGTGAGCAATATGAGCTTTGTTGTGTAGGCTGTAACAATATGGCTTTGTTGTGTAGAGCTGTAAGCAATATGGCTGCTGTGTTGGCTGTGAGCAATATGGCTTTGTTGTGTAGAGCTGTAAGCAATATGGCTGTTGGTATAGGCTGTAAGCAATATGGCTGTGGTATGAGGCTGTAAGCAATATGGCTGCTGTGTTGGGCTGTGAGCAATATGGCTGTTGTGTAGAGCTGTAAGCAATATGACTTTGTTGTGTGGAGCTGTAAGCAATATGGCTTTGTTGTGTAGAGGTGTGAGCAATATGGCTTTGTTGTGGGAGGCTGTGAGCAATATGGCTGTTGTGTTGAGCTGTAAGCAATATGGCTGTTGTGTTGAGCTGTAAGCAAAATGGCTGCTGTGTTGAGCTGTGAGCAATATGGCTTTGTTGTGTAGAGGCTGTAAGCAATATGGCTGTTGTGTAGAGCTGTAAGCAATATGGCTGCTGTGTTGGGCTGTGAGCAATATGGCTTTGTTGTGTGGAGCTGTAAGCAATATGGCTGTTGTGTGGGCTAAGCAATATGGCTGTTGTGTAGGCTGTAAGCAATATGGCTGTGTTGTGTTGAGCTGTGAGCAATATGGCTGTTGTGTTGAGCTGTGAGCATTATGGCTTTGTCGTATAGAGCTGAACACTATGCCTTTCTGCGTCTATAGAGTCCTAAACAATATGCCTTTGTTGTGTAGAGCTGTGAGCAATATGGCTTTGTTGTGTAGAGCTGTAAGCAATATGGCTTTGTGTTGAGCTGTGAGCAATATGGCTTTGTTGTGTTGAGCTGTGAGCAATATGGCTTTGTTGTGTAGAGCTGTAAATAATGGCTTTGTTGTGTTGAGCTGTGAGCAATATGGCTTTGTCGTATAGAGCTGAACACTATGCCTTTCTGCGTCTATAGAGTCCTAAACAATATGCCTTTGTTGTGTAGAGCTGTGAGCTATATGGCTTTGTTGTGTTGAGCTGTGAGCAATATGGATTTGTTGTGTTCAGCTGTGAGCAATATGGCTGGCTTTGTTGTGTAGAGCTGAATACTATGCCTTTCTGGGTCTATAGAGCCCTGAACAAAATGCCTTTGTTGGGTAGAGCAGTGAACAATATGGTTTCATCCTTCCTGTCAGAATAATATCACTGGACTAACTTCCATTCGTCACTGAGCCTCACTGACAACAGGCAGCTTCTCTCTCGACTGAATTACTGAGGCGGGGGAGTTGTTGTCCTTGAATACCAGGTCGACACCTCCTCCTCCATCTGTAGTGTTCCGATCGGTAACAATAAGGCCAATTGGTCGTGTAGTATGGTGCTTGTGATGCTATACCCAGTTGACTGCTTGTGTATGACCTGCTACCAAGATTATAGGTCATCCACTCCTTCTGTAAGACCTGCTACCAAGTATACAGGTCATGAACTCCTTCTGTATGACCTGCTACCAAGATTACAGGTCATGGACTCCTTCTGTATGACCTGCTACTAAGTATACAGGTCATGAACTCCTCTGTAAGACCTGCTACCAAGTATACAGGTCATGAACTCCTTCTGTATGACCTGCTACCAAGATACAGGTCATGGACTCCTTCTGTATGACCTGCTACTAAGTATACAGGTCATGGACTCCTCTGTATGACCTGCTACCAAGTATACAGGTCATGAACTCCTTCTTTATGACCTGCTACCAAGATTACAGGTCATCCACTCCTTCTGTATGACCTGCTACCAAGTATACAGGTCATGGACTCCTTCTGTATGACCTGCTACCAAGTATACAGGTCATGAACTCCTTCTGTATGACCTGCTACCAAGTATACAGGTCATGAACTCCTTCTGTATGACCTGCTACCAAGTATACAGGTCATGAACTCCTTCTTTATGACCTGCTATCAAGATTACAGGTCATCCATTCACTCACCTGTAAACGCTGAAATGATCCAGCAACAACAACGAGAATTATATTAAAAAACCACCCCAAAAATTATCAACCCGACACACACAGACACACACACACACACACACACACACACACACACACACACACACACACACACACACACACACACACACACACACATTATTGAATAACATTGTCATATTCGTTGATTTAAAAAACAGGAATGTGATAGGAAAAACTAATAATACTCCTACTTATTAACAAACATATAATAATGCTGAAAATACTCGAAAACCAAACCTAACCTAACCTCAAAGTTAACCCCAAACTTAACCTAACCTAAAACCTAAAACCTAAAAGCTAACCTTAAACCTAACCTCAAACCTAAGA